GGTTGTGATCCACCATGTCTCGAGCCACTCAAGGCCACCGGCTATTTCTGCGAGCTTCACGGAGAAGACATACAAGGTTGATTGAGCAAGACCCGGTACCGTGGGATAGCATAAGGGCATCTACAACGTTGGGCGCCAGGATCAGAATCCTATCCGATTAGCAGTTGGCCCGATTAATCCTGGCGCTTAGCCCTTTGTCCTACGTATGAGTTCAGCGGCGCTGTTGTGTATAGCGATCGGTTTTTCAGTTAATTAGCGCCTATAGTTAGCGCTCAACATTGAGGTAGGGAGTCATTGGTTTTTTATTTGACGTGATTTTTTTATCCATTAGCGTCAATATAAAAGTCCAGTGTTGAAGATGCCCTAAGGAAGTGGCTGAGTTTTCCTAGGACCAACCGACTCTGGAAACAACCGTGTATCCGAGTTGTACTTGCATGTTGGTCCAACAGTACATAAATGAATGAATGGTCCGGAGAAAGAAACTACATGTGTGGCATTTAGCAATTCCATGGAATAAAAATCTAGCTAAAACGGCAAAGAGAACATTTACACAACAGAAAATAGGACAACAAGACCTCCGGTTAATCAAAACAGGAATACTCCACACAACATAACCTAAAAGACAATAGACACATAGTTGGATGCACAAGTTATAGGGGATACACACAAACGGTTTGACACTTCAGATAGGAGATCAAGTACAATAACTACTGTGACACTTCAACAACGGAACTACTGAGTAGCCGATACTAAGTAGCCGAACATTGCACGATGCTAGATCCAACGGTTGGCCTCCACTTGGCCCCACACATGCACGGTTCGAATAGCAGGATGGTGCAAAAATCGGCTGCATGTATAGTAGCGCTCCTTCAACAAACATGAAGGATATGGGAGCAAAGTTTGGTTGGGGTTGCCCTCTCTTCTCAGTGTTCCCCGCCACAAATCTCCTAGGTTCAACATTCAAACAAATTTCCCTGTGCTGCGATCATCCCCTTGTCCGTAGCAACAAGGGACCAAGCAACAGTAATTGATACCTCGGAGCCACCAAGAGCACATTTACCATGGCTCATGCCGCAAGATTTGGGTATGAAACGGACCTGGCCTTGTGAAGCGATATCGCCAGATTTGGAGTAGGCTTCTATGACAACGTCCAACCGTCCTTCCATTTCTACTGAAACAACTTGCCTCCACATATGTAGGTAACCACCACAACGTTTTTTCAGCCATACTCCATCTTTTGAATCAAGCAGCACAATTTGGCTAGATGAGGGGTTGATAGTGCGAGTGACTCCGCTATCAGCGAAAACGAACTTCCCCGACAGTGGAGAGCAGGCAAATCGGCCACCGTATTGAAAAGGCCATGACCCATCATCTTTGACAACCTGGACATTCAGGATAATGGCCTGAAAGGTTCATGGAGTAAATTGCAAAAACCACCACAACTAGGAACCCTAATTCAAAAAACCACCACCTTTCAATTTTTTTTCAAAAAACACCAACATTGTGCTGACAGTTTTCAGAAAACACTAATGCATTGCTTACAGCGGTTTGATGAAAAATCTGACAGGTGGGCGCCGCTGTCAGGTGCCACATGGCTGGGGTGGAGACGGCAGCCGTCGGACCCGTAAACGGCGCTAGCTGGTCATGCAAGGACCAGTCAAAATCACCAAAAAAATTCCAGGCTAATCTGAGTGTTGCTTTCGGCCGCCGGTGGCTGCTATAGACGGACAAGGGAAGGGCACAGGCGGAGCTACGCAGCTCCGGCGAGGTCGAGCTGCCGTGCGCCCACGGCCCAGCCCGCTCCGGCGAGGCCGAAATCCCGCACGCCCACGAACCAGCCAGCTCCGGCGAGGCCAAGCTGTCGTGCGCCCACTCCGTCAAGACCAAGATCCAGTGCGTCCGCCCCTGCCCGCTCCGGCGTGGCCGAACTGCCGCGCGCCCGCTCCGGCGAGGCCAGCTGCCGTGCGCCCACAACGTCAAGGCCGACACCTCGCGCGTCCGTGCCCCAGCCCGTTCCGGCATGGCCGAGCTGCCGAGCTGCCGTGCGTTCGCGCGCGCCGCGCGCCCGCTCCGGCGAGGCCGAGCTGCCGTGCGCCCAC